CTGTGTTAATTGGTTTCCCTTTTCTTTGTTGAAGAGGGTCTGTGCAATCCTTCTACCTAGTCCGCCATCTTGACGGAACTGCCTTTCTTGTCTTTTTAATGATGTTTACTGTCTTCATGTATGATGTTCTTGTTGTCATTCCACAACTTGTCTGGTCTTCAGTCATTGGTGTTCAGTGCGTCACATCTCTTCTTCAGATGGTCTTTAAGTTCAAGTGGAATGTAATCAAGGTCATATTTGGCCTCTCATGGACTTGTTTTTATTTTCTTTATCATTAGCTTGAATTTTCATGTGAGCAATTGATGGTCTGTTCCATAGTCAGCACCTGGACTTGTTTTGACTGATGATATTGAACTTCACCCTTGCCTCTTCCCACAGATGTAGTAGATCTGATATCTGTGTATTCTATCTGGTGAGGTCTACGTATATAGCTGCTGCTTATGTTGTTGAAAAAGGTATTTGCAATGAGTAAGTCATTGGTCTTGCAAAATTTTATCATGCGATTGCCTGCATCTTTTCTATTACCAGGGCCATATTTTTAATATGATTATTCTTCTTTGTTTCCAACTTTTATATTCCAATCATCAGTCATCATAAATACATCTTGATTGCATATTTGATCCATTTCAGATTGCAGAAGTTGGTAAAAAAAATCTTCAGTTTCTTCATCTTTGGCTTTAGTGGTTGGTGTGTAAGTTTGAATAATAGTATTAACTCATCTTCCTTGTAGGCATGTGGATATTATCCTATTACTGACAGCATTGTGCTTCAGGATAGAACTTAAAATAACTCTTTTGGATGATGATTGCAACACCATTCCTTTTCAATTTTTTCATTCCTGGCATGGTATACTACATGAGTGTCCAATTTGAAACGGCTAATACCCATCCATTTCAGCTCACTTATGCCTGGGATATCAATCTTTATGTGTTCCCTTTCATTTGTGACGACTTCTCATTTTCCTCGATTCATACTCCTGAATTCCACATTCTGATTATTAATACATGTTTACAGCTGTTTCTTCCAATTTTGAGTTGTGCCCCATCAGCAAATGAAGGTCCCGAAAGCTTTTACTCCATCTAAGTTCTTAAGGTCAACTCTCCTTTGAGGAGGCATTTCTTCCCTGGTGATATTTTGAGTGGCTTACAACCGAGGGACTCATCGTCGAGCACTATATCAGGTAGAGTTTCAGGGCTGTTTATTCATAAACTTTTATAGCAATATATTAGACAGTGTTTCACTGCTCTTCATAAGGTTTTCACTGGCAATTTATTTCAGAAGTGGCCAATTTTTTTGAAGTTGTCTATGAAGTTTTCAAACTGCTAACGTTTTCCTCTTTCATATTTATTAATTTTTAATACATAAGTACAAAAACGACAACGAGGCCACATGTTCTGACCTCCTCTAATTCCACAAGAGGAAGACAGGATTACCAGCAGTAACCCAAGGCCTATTACTGCAAGGCCAGACACACTGCCTCCCTCCAGCCCTTTCACCAACCGTTCCTCCCAAAGCACCCACCACCTCTCCTCTGGGTTCGTTAATTCACTGCAGTGGCCACACAGAACTCACAGATTACGGGGTTTATTAGGCAAGCACCAGGCTACAACTCAAGTTCAGGAAGAATGCTCAGTCTCTCTCCCAGCCCACTGTCCCTCAGCCAACAGTCTCTCACAGTCTCTTTCCCAGCAGTGCTGGTCCCTCAGTGTCTCACTCAGCATTGCGTGTCTCTTGCGCCTCTTTCCCCGCAGCATGTGTCTCTTTCAGGGGTGCGTGTCTCTTTCAGCAGCACGTCTTCCTCCACCAGCAGTCAGAGAGAGTTCTGCCTCTAGGAGGCCTCTTTTTGAGCCCGGCAGGGTGGTCAAACTAGCCAATCATAGCATCAGAACTCTAAGCACGTGAGAGAGAGAGGGAACCTCCCAGAACATTGTTTTGTGCCACTCCCAACAGAAATACTCCAGGTGGACAACTTCAGCAATCAGGAGCTCCTCAGTTGCTCATAGAAAATCCCACCTTAGAGTTTACAAAGACTTATGGATAGAAAAGCCACACTAAGTAATTTACTACACCGCAATAAGTAATATGTTTATTATGGAAAAATAAATTAGAAGGAAAAGATAAAATAATTTTTTAGAAATTATTTAATCACATCACCCAGAGAAAATGACTAACACTTCAGAAAATTAGTTAACACTAATGTTACCTAATTAAATTAACTAACATTAATGAAAATTAGTTTATCCTACACTTAATAGTTTGTAAATGACATTTGTCAGTAATGTATCATGAAGATTGTTCCTTGCCAAATTCATATTTGTGTAATTCTTAATTATTCCATGGCATCAACTGTTACCAGTTCATTTAAGTACTCCTCTATTGTTGGGCATTTCATATTGTTCTAGAGTTCAGAAAAACAACACATTTTTTGAGGAATTGTCTAGTTATGTCCTAAAAGTGGAATTGCTTATGATTCATATGGTGTTTATATTTTTAAGACGTTTGATAAGTGTTCATAATTTTCCTCCAGAGGGATCATTCCTATTTACTTTCTCATAGAGAAAGCTGCTGTAGTTTGGGAGAGAATGGCATTAATTCCCATTCTTTGCTAAAGAATATTAATAGATGTTATAAATCTTACAGATTCTACATTTCTCTTTCTTTACATTTTCCTTGTCATTTGATTAACATTTTGCATAGTTATATCTGAAATAATAATTTTTCATTTTCAAAAGTGGTATTGTAGCTACTCAGCAAAGTATTATCTCTTAAGTCATGTCATGCATTTTTAAGTGTGCTTCTTAGATTTTTCTTTTTTCTCTTGTTTGCATGCAGTGAATGGTAAATTTGCATGGAATATTTGAAAAATGAAAGTACCAGAATGAATTGAATGTGTTTGGATTATCATTCTTTGTTACTTACCTTAATGGTTTGGAGACAAAATTCTGCTTTTGAAACATAATTAGATTTATGTGTCCATTATGTGTTTGTCTTCTTGTTGAGTTTCTTATGATTACCAAGATGTTCTTAGATTCTAGTGCCATTTGCTACTTAATCCTGTGTGTTACTGAGATTCCAATATAGGAGCATTTTGTGAGTTAAATTAGGTGAGTTACTTTTTGTTACTATTTTTGATTCTTTTAGTTTTATTCCCATGTTTGTGAATTTGGGACCAAAGGAAATAGTTGGTGAATTATGATTTTTTGGATCCAATAGACTACTTCAGTTATTTTAATCTCATATCATCAGATAGTAGAAAGCATTGAATCTTTAAAGTTGAAGAGACCATGGAGATAAATAATGTAGTTCAACTTCTTGCTTCACAAAATAATTCCTTCCTCAGTATCCTTGGGAACTCTGCTGGAACATTTTTCAGTGTTTTTTAAGCTTACAAAGTAAGTGTCATATAAAGTTTCTTCCCTAATGGAACTTAAAAATTCTGTATTTCTGTGGCATAGCATTAATGAGGAAATTTCATAACAAGTTTTATGTTCAGTATTATATGCTTTGGGATCTGCATTTTTTTACAATATAACACTAGTTTTGGATATTTCTAACTTAATTATAAATTTAATTTTAAATTTTCCCATATGATAGCTAATGGAAAAAAAAATAAATTCTTGCTCTAGATAAAGGTTCAGCACTGACAGCAGATCAAGCATTATATACTTTTAAAGTAAATTGGTTAATATGTAAGGGGCAACCAAAGCTAGATTGATATTTTAAATATACTTTCATTTTCTTAATGCCAATTTTTAAAGTGGTAAAATAATAAAACTCTTAGAAAACTATATGTCATGTGATTATTAGCTTTGTGCTAAATAATTAAGCAATACAGTACTACCCGTTGAGCTTTTTTCTCTTTTTTTCAATCAAATGAGAACATACTGTATAAAAAACAAAATGATAATGGTAAGCATTGACATACTTTATCATAGTATCTTAGGAAATAATCAATCAGATGTTTCATTAGTCAAAAGTTTTAGACAAAGAGTGGGTCTCCATTTTCTGTATGTCATCTTAATATGAAAGTTTATCACATCAGTGCTTGACTAACTTTTGCTTTGCTGATAATCTGTTGAGCTTTTTACATGTGCGCTGCACTAATCAATCACTGTGCTTATTGTTTGAATGTTTGGTACAGGAAGCGAGCAGCTGCAAAGCATCTAATAGAACGCTACTACCACCAGTTAACTGAGGGCTGTGGAAATGAGGTCTGCACGAATGAGTTTTGTGCTTCCTGTCCAACTTTTCTTCGTATGGATAACAATGCAGCAGCTATTAAAGCCCTCGAGCTTTATAAGATTAATGCAAAACTCTGTGATCCTCATCCCTCCAAGAAAGGAGCAAGCTCAGCTTACCTTGAAAACAACTCGAAAGGTGCCCATAACAACTCCTGCACTGACATAAAAATGAACAAGAAAGAAGGACAAGGAGCTAGAGATGATTTTAAAGGTAAGATGTTCTAAGTTTAATTGAGGATTGTTGATTCAAAACCATATTGGAGATATATCATGTAATTTTTTTTTTTTTACTGTTTTACCTAATTATGTGACATTTTTAAGATAGGATAGTAAAACATTTTTTATTGTAATAAAGGACAAAACTAATAACTCAGTTAATAACTAACTGCACTACTGGTTTTATCATCTCTAATTTGAAGCACATTCTACTCCCAAAATTTCATTTATTAATGGGTTGATGATAAATTTATATATATTTTCTGTTTGGAAAAATGTGTTAAGTTGGTGGTTAATCTCCCAAATTAGGCCCAAGTCAGTTTAAACTGTAGAATGTTGTTGTTGTTGTTATGTGCTGTGGAGTCGGACCCAACTCATAGTGACCCCTCCTTGGGTTTCTGAGGCAGTGTCACTAGGGAAATACATTACCCCATCTTCCTTCTGAGGAGTGGCTGGTGGATTTAAACCTCCAGCCTTCTGGTTAGCAATCAAGTGCCTTAGGCACTATGCTACCAGAGCTCCCTAAACTGTAGAATAGCTGGAACTAAATATCTGAAATGAGTCCTGTAATTCTACGACTATGCAGTGAAAAACAGAAAGAGGAAAAGGAAATCTTTACCTGTTTTTGATGGCAGCAGAATTTTTTAGTAATGGCCTGAGAAATAGTTCCGCTTTTCCTTCTCATATATTCTTCCCATATCTTGCTCATGCATCCTTCCAGGCATCTGGTACACTCATACTGCCAAAGATTAGTCTTTTCATTCTTGTTTTCTTTTCTGAGTGGTCCCCCAAGCTCTGTTTTCCCAGTGAAGGAAATCAGTTTTAGTAACAAAGTAATCATATTTCTGAATGATTTTCCGGGCTTATCCTCACCAGAACCAAAAAACCAAACTCACTCCAATCGAGTCAATTCTGACTCAAAACGACTCCCTTTGGGTTTCCAAGGTGCTAAATCTTTATAGAAGGAAGTAGATTGCCCAATCTTCCTCTCACAGAGTGGATGGAGGGTTTCAACTGCCAGCCTTCTGGCTAGCAGTCAAATGCCTTAGGCATTGTGCCACCAGAGCTCCTTTTTAGTCTTACTAGAGGCAGTTGTATTTTGAAAGAGGAGACTCTGTTAAAGACATGTATAAGTTAGAGGCTGCCTTACCGAAATTTGAATTAAGTTTAAATGAATTAGAGAAATGGAATTGTATAATAATTTCTACTCATTTCCACTAGAAAGCTATTTTCTCAACTTTACCCAACTTTGTTGCTACAAAATGTATAGTTAAATTACACAAATTATCTTATACATTGGAGAAGTAGATGGATGTGTCGGTTTAGATGTTGTCAGTATATACAGTACAGAAGTTGCACTGGTTCCATTATACACATTTCCTCAGCAAGCCTGCACTTCAGAGTAGCAGCAGCTGACACGGGAATGCAACCAGCATTAGCTGTACCCATTCACCCATCTCCTTGGCCATGTGCTTGGTGTTAGACATACTCTTTACAGTCTTCGTGCCTTGCTCACGTCGCCATAATTTAGCAGTTTTAACCTTACATAATAATTTCTTTCAGTATGCTACTGCCCCCCCCCCTTTTCTGCAAAGTTCTATATGCACTGTATTTCTATTAGAACTTTTTAACCACCCTAGTATTTTTATTTTGATAGTTTTTTTTTTTTTCTTGTTAGCTTTATTTAAAAATTTGTATAAATACTGAGTAGTCTGCCCCAAACTCTGTTTTCACATAAGTTTATTTTAAGTGCACACTATTACAGAGTAAGAGTACTTTAAGGAATATATATTACAGAATATACAGATATATCCTCCAAAATTATCTCTTAATATTTTCACAATAGGATACCTCTTCTTGTTACCCAAGCTTTATGAATGTTTATTTCTCTAATTATAGCTTTTTTTTTTTTAAGCTACATTTATGTCTGAAAAACTCAGTTCATCATTTTCAACAAAACACTATGTAGTCCTGGTATATTTTAGGTAGAATTAATAGAATGTCAGAATTGCTTGAAGATGTTCTGTCAACAAAGAGTATGTGAATTTAGCATGTTGCTGCCCCCAATAGAGGTCTTGTCAGTGCACCCAAAGTACCTCTTTCTTACCAGTCTTATGATTTGATGATTAGGAAGCAAAGTATATTTTTTCCTATCAGGCCAAGTGTTTATAAAAGCTATCTTAGTATGTTATGGTTACATTTCAGGAAATTAGATAGCTGTTCTAGATTATTTTGTAAGCTGTTAAATTTTTTTCCAATGAAATAATGGTTATGTATGCTTCTAGTTAGCAGTTTCACACTTCTCAAAAGGAGATTACTGATGTTTAGCAGATATGCCTGTGTTTCTTTAATAGAGCAAACCTGAGAATTAGTTCTTAAAGATTAGGTCACAGTAAAGAAGCTATGCAAGTGTTAAGATTCTGGTAGGAGGGACTACACAGATCAGGTTTGTGGTGTGATAAAATTTGGTATTATTATGGTTCAACTTTTGCAAGCCATTCATCCATTGATCTCTTACATTTTACGTTGTCTTTGCTTTGAAGCAGATACACAAAACAGAGGTCAGAATTTCACTAAAAATTTTTACATGTTGTGTAGTGCATGCACAAGTGTATATTTAGCTCAATGAAGGTAAATACCTGAATAGGTTATTTTAGGAAGACGAGTTCCATTGTTATTTAGCTTGATTGTGAAGAATATTATTTCATAATAAAATATTGCATGTATAATTGCAGTTTAAGTTGCTTTAGTAACAGTAAATTTTCTAAAATACAACACTGATCAGAAATATATAGGGGTGTAACTTTACTTGGAGTGCTCCATTTTTTATTTCTTCCACAAGTAGATAGTATTTTACTTAACCATGTACCTTATAAAAAAATGGCCTCTAAATTATCTAATAATAAAGTTAGATTGTTTTTTCTATCTAAAAATAAGAATCAGTCATGTCTGTCCCCTTTTATTTAGAGAACAAACTCTTTCCTGGAAGCCCACTATTGACTTCCACTTTGGTAGTCGCAGCTTTACTTGTCTGCTTGTAAGTTGCCTTCTTCCAACTTTGTTTTTCATTGCTCACTACCTATTTCTTGATTATTCCAACCTGATTCTCGTCTGCAGATAACAGTTTTAACTTTGGGGATTGTGAGAAATGGCGTATTAATTTTCCTCAGACACCAACAGAATGACCATTCTGGAACAAATGGGAAAGAACAACAACAAAAAAAAAAACTAATTTTAATACATATGGAAGTAGAAAAAGAGCTATTTCCAAAAGAGAATGACCAAAGAACCTTTCTCAAATTCTTTCCTTTTTATATGATAACAGAGTAGTGAAACAAAGAAGAAACTTCTCAGAAGAATAGTAGCTTCTGCTCTAGCTAAGTTGTGGGAGTTGTACCATGATGAATCAGAACATGATTTTAAGAGTTGTAAATCACAAATGGTATTGAGTGCACAGGAACTCTGGTGATACAGTGATTAAGTACTTGGTCGCTAACTGAAAAGTCAGTGGTTTCAACCTACCAGCTGCTCCACAGGTGAAAGATAACGCCCTGGAAACCCTACAGCAGAGGAGGGGGTTAGTTCTACTCTGACCTGTAGGGCCATTGTGCATCTGAACCAAGACCGTGGCAAGTAGTTTGGTGTTACGGGTTTTTATTGAGTGCAAAATATTTGTTTTACTTTTCACTAGAACATATTAAAACAAATTAAGTATACATATTATGAAAATAAATGTTGCCTTTTTTCCTTCAATTTTCTAGATGTGACTTACCTAACAGAAGAGAAGGTATATGAAATTCTTGAATTGTGTAGAGAGAAAGAGGATTATTCTCCTTTAATCCGGGTTATTGGAAGAGTCTTTTCTAGTGCTGAGGCATTGGTTCAGAGCTTTCGAAAAGTCAAACAACACACCAAGGAAGAACTGAAATCACTTCAAGGTAAAGATGAAGACAAGGATGAAGATGAAAAGGAAAAAGCTGCATGTTCTGCTGCTATGGAAGAAGATTCAGAAGCATCCTCCTCAAGGATAGGTGATAACTCAGAAGGAGATAACAACTTACAAAAATTAGGCCCTGATGATGTATCTGTGGATATTGATGCTATTAGAAGGGTCTACACTAGATTGCTTTCAAATGAAAAAATAGAAACTGCCTTTCTTAATGCACTTGTATACTTGTCACCTAATGTGGAATGTGACTTGACCTATCATAATGTATATTCCCGAGATCCTAATTATCTGAATTTGTTCATTATTGTAATGGAGAATGGAAATCTCCATAGTCCTGAATATCTGGAGATGGCATTGCCATTGTTTTGCAAAGCAATGAGCAAACTCCCCCTTGCAGCCCAAGGAAAACTAGTTAGACTGTGGTCTAAATACAGTGCAGACCAGATTCGGAGAATGATGGAAACATTTCAGCAACTTATTACTTACAAAGTCATAAGCAATGAATTTAACAATCGAAATCTAGTGAATGATGATGATGCCATTGTTGCTGCTTCAAAGTGCTTGAAAATGGTTTACTATGCAAATGTAGTAGGAGGGGAAGTGGACACAAATCACAATGAAGAAGATGATGAAGAGCCTATCCCAGAATCCAGTGAATTGACCCTTCAGGAGCTGTTGGGAGAGGAAAGAAGAAACAAGAAAGGTCCTCGAGTAGACCCACTGGAAACTGAACTTGGTGTTAAAACTCTAGATTGTCGAAAACCACTTATCCCTTTTGAAGAGTTTATTAATGAACCACTCAATGATGTTCTAGAAATGGATAAAGATTATACTTTTTTCAAAGTAGAAACAGAAAACAAATTCTCTTTTATGACATGTCCCTTTATATTAAATGCTGTCACGAAGAATTTGGGATTATATTATGACAATAGAATTCGCATGTACAGTGAACGAAGAATCACTGTTCTCTACAGTTTAGTTCAAGGACAGCAGTTGAACCCATATTTGAGACTCAAAGTCAGACGTGATCATATCATAGATGATGCACTTGTCCGGGTAAGTTGGGCAACTGTTTAAACATAATACTAGATTGAAAAGTTAATGATGGGGAGATTAGAGAATTGACTTTGTGGTACAGATCAGTGAATTGTGAATTTATTTTATAAGTGATTCAAAAAAAAAATACAAAAATATGTAATTTTATAATCTAGGGATACATGGACACTTCTAATCTCAATTTAGAGTACTTTTGTTCTTCTTGTCCATGTTTACAAGTGTGTTCCACAGAGAACTAGTTACCTTATATAATAAAATCAGTCTCTTTGAGAGAAAAAATGGATTTTCTAAATCTTAATGATTCCAAGAGGTTTCCCTACTGAGAAGAGAAGTGGATATTGGGGTAAGGTCAGACGCAGAGCAGTAGGGGAATATGCAGACATCCAGTAATTAGTGTAGATGTGAAGTTTACCTGGGAGATGTAGCACAGTGAGACCTTGTCCTAAAGCAGTATGTGATGTCCAAAAATTCAGTCACTTAAAATTAGAGTTGCATTATTGTGAGCTTGATCAAGTGACTGTAGCAGGTTTATACAGATTGCTTGCAAGATTTGGGCTCCTGTTGGACCACTCTAAATTTAGTCCCTGTGTGGCACTGCCCTGGCTGTAGTAGTTTCTTTACACTTAAATATCTATAGGGACAGCTCTGGGTCTTTTAGTTAGCTGGATATTTTGGGAAAGTAGCATCTATCCTAGGAATTTGGCAGTTGATAGTGCCTATATTGTCATCCCAGTCCAGGGAGATTGACCTGCAAAAATACTGGGACCTCAGGTACTCATCTTTTAACTTTCTGTTTCTCAAGATGGAGTTGCCTCGTGTTTCTTCCTTTACTTCCTAGAAGCTTAGTATTTGTGTCCCAGTTAAGAATACAAGAGTAATCAGAATACAGAAAAACTATCAGTCAGTCACATAGTACCACAATTTACATTTGTGCTTTATCATTTCAGTATATTCATAGTATAAGATAGCCCTGTCATTGCTGTTTCTTTTTCGCCAACTTCAAGTGAAATTGAGTGTCAATTAAAAAGATAATAAACTTTCTATACTAATGAAGGGGATAGTAAACTCTGACACAGACAACTAAAAAATAGTGTATATATTTATTTCAAAATATAGTTGAGTTTAGAGTGGATTTGCCTATATCTGAGAATTCATAAAGCTATAAACCAGTGGGAAAGGTTGTTTGAGATCTCAGAAATTAAAAAGCTGCAGAGGTTCTATGCTGCTTTTCTTGTTACTAGTTTTTAAAAATTCCAGATAGGTTTATAGCGTTCAGGAGAAATTCTGCAGTATTTAAGCAATATTTTATCTCAGTTTTTCAACAGAGATAAAAAGGGAAATTACCTTTAATAATTACTATTGCTTTATTTCTGGTGCCTTTTTATTTTACTTATGTAGTTGTGGACAACGTGAATAATTATTGTACTTTATAACTGATCCTCAGGCAGCCAGTAACTTACTTTACATAGTTTAGCAGTACGGTAGGCTGTTATTTAAGAATGTGAGTGATGTTTTATGAAAAACATGTTGAGGTCTATCAATGAGTATCTGTAGTTAAAGCAGACCTGTGAGTACCAGAGCTACACGTATTGTTTGGCTTCTCGGTTTGTGACCCCTTCAGCTGGTGGTATTGGTAAAACCTATGCGTAGCCTTTCAAAAACAATGAAATTACTCTCTGTTAGATTCAAGCCAGGTTTTTAAATTAAAAAAAAAAAAAAAAAACACTTTACGTGTCTGCCTTCTGCTCAGAGGTTTGCTCTGCCTTAATACCCCATCCCCTTCCACTTTTTTTTTTCCTCTTGATACAGCAAAACTAAGAACCAACAAAAGTTTAGGTACTTATTGTATACTTTGATCTGTTTCTAAAATTTATCTTCTAAGATTTAGTGGAAACAACTATTTTAGCTTATAAGCCTCTGAACAGACATTGGCATAGAATTAGATGTGAGCTTTTTAATTGTGCTAACAAATGGTTGTTTTTTTTTGTTTTTGTTTTTTTTTTTTTAAACTGTTGTTATTTTAAAGCTGGAAAGTAAGATTTGGCTCATTACTATAAATCAGTATTAACTAAATCATCTCTTTGCTTAAATAATATAATTCACAAAAGCCGTTCACTTCAGAAATCCTGCGTGCTAGGTATTTTGCAAAGCAGTGGAGAAACAGAGATGATTAGTGCCCACTGAGAAACTTCTTTGGAGTTCTAAAGGCTCACACTAAACTGATTGTATTCTTAAATTCTCTCTCTCTCTCTTTTAATATCACACAATGTGAGAAGATTATAAACATATGTCAGAACAGGTCTCTGAAGTAAAAGTGATAATCTCCCTATTTTTAAAAAGTATTCATAGCAAATGATGATTATGATAAAGTCACATTATCTGAGTAAACAAAGTAGAAGGTTTATGGCAAAATGCACACCTCTGAGGTGATGGTTTTAAAACTCTCCTGGTGAACTTTAAAAAGAGTACTGATAGGTTTTTCAACGTAGTATTCCCACAGGGACTACTTTGCTTTCTAAACCCTCATTCTTCCTTTTATATTAGTTTGATAAACAAAATGCAACCCCATTGACCACTTTCCTTATACCTGCTAATTTTGAATCAGAGTAAGATTGGGAAGGGAGGAGGAAATGAGAAACTTTGTGGTGAACTCACTCTCTATTTTTTTTTCCCCATTTTATAATACTCTTTGATTAAAGAGTTTACCTTTTTTGTGCACACTTGAATGTTTTATTCCCTATGTATTTTACAGGGTTACAAAACATCTCTCGTTTTAAATATTATCCCAAAAGTAATTTCAGAGAAAAAAAAAGTTGTTTGTGAAACTAAACATGACCTTTTAAAAATCATATGGACAAGCAACTCTGGAACAAAACTGGATTAATACAATTTCTTGCCTACTTAACTACATGACAGATTTCTTGTCCAGTTACCCTTCCTCAAAAGAACCTTATGTGGAAACCAAGTTAGAGATAAGAATTTCTTCCCTGATACAGTTGGGGAAAGGGAAAGGCCAGAAATGTCTTTGGCAAATAATTCCATCCACGGCCTTTAGTGTGGTGTGACTGCTTTGTTTCAAGTACCCTACTTCCGTAGTAATACTGCCTTGGAAACCCAAGCAGGGGTCTCTATGAGTCGGGTCTGACTCCACGACACATAACAACAACCACAAACAACGTTTTTTACAGGGAAGGCCAGCTATTGTTCACAATGGGAGTGATACTCTCCACCCAGCTAAAAGTGCTGGAGGGCCTCTACAGTCTTTTTTCTTTCCACCACCAGCGGCTGCAGCCTGGTAGCAACTCTTCACTAACTCTATTGAATGCAATGCTGGGTTAAAAGCCAATGCTGGGCTGGTTGATGTAGTCTCTTCCACTGAAAAGTAATGGATGAGATATAGCTGATAACAACCACTACATAACAACACTCAAAAGGCTTAGGGGAGAAAAGAATTTCATAGACAGGAACAGATAATCTAGTGAAAACTGTTGGGCAGGCTGGAAGAAAATGGGATATATATATAACCAGTCCCTACATAGCAGTATAATCAGCTGCCTCTTGAAATGCTAAAAACCTGGTGGTGGAAATGGAGAGTCGCAGTAGTTCAGGAGCAACAGGATTGGCAAAAAGACACTGAACCAACATCCTGCAAAATCATAACCTTGTCTACCAGAAAGAACAGGAATGAGTGAACTCAGTAAATAAATAATAATAGAATCGTAGACTTTAAGAGTTAAAAGCAACCTTGGAGTTCATCTACTCCTTAGTCTATAAATGAGGTCCAGAAAGATGTAGTGACAGCATATGACATTCTTGAGTATTTTCTATCAGGTCTTATTTTTTTAGTTGTTAATTATAAGATAGGCTAGCTTGGAAGAAGAGGTAGGGAAGTAACTTGAATTAATAATTATAGTGTTTTTTTTAAAATAAAAGTATAATCATTGCTTTTATTTAATTATGGTAACTTAAGTAATTCAGATCAGACTAGTGAATTGATTCCTAACTGAAGATCTTTGATTACAAGAGAAGAATCATTGTTCATAGTATTTTATCAAATCCAAGATACCATTCCAATATACCATTGATTATAAGACACACCATTATTTTATTAGCACTAAGAAAAAAAAAGTGCTACCGTTAGTTTTAAGATACTACAGTTGTAAGGTACATTGTGATTTGAAAGATCTTAAAATGTGGAAAAAGAAAAAGGAATTTTAGAATCAATAAAATATGATACAATATAAAATACCTTTCCACAAAGGGATATCTCAGAGTTGTTTAAGAACTCTTACTCCCCTGTACCCCAGTCTCTCCTTAAGTTATTAGAATATCTCCCCAGGACTATTTTCACTTATCTGTTGTTGTTGTGTCTTAGAAAATAGTGTAGCAATAAACAAAAGCTCAGAGTTAGCTTCCATTTGAAAGAAAATCCTGACATAATGTTCTTACAGTATTTTATTAACACATGTAGCATAGTGGCTAAGACACTTGCCTGCTAACCAGAAGGCTGGCGGTTCAAACCCACCAGCCACTCCTCGGAAGGAAGGTTGGGCAATCCTACTTCCGTAGTGATACTGCCTCGGAAACCCAAGGAGGGGTCGCTATGAGTCGGGGCCGACTCGACGGCACATAACAACAACAACAACAATCCATACATATATGCTTTAAAATGTATGTAATTTGACATTTTTCTTAAAGCATTCCCAAAGGAAGTGACTATATATAGATATTTTTTTATTCCTTCTGGTAGGAGATTGAAGGTATAGGTTTAATGGAAGAAAACATTGTTGTCTTCTTGATATGCTCCAAACTTCTTTAACTTCTGAATAGGAAATGTTTAAATACATATATTTAACACAAATATAAAACGAGAGATGTTTTGTAACCCTGTAAATCTGTAGATGCAGATTTAGGAGTTTTGGTATGGAGCCTGGGCATCTGTACTTTAGTAGTACCCTAAAATATTCTCATAAAAGCCAGGCTGCAAACCAATATTTAGG